AGTAAAGGTGTCTTATGCACACCCCTTCAAGTAAAGTGTTACCAAAATTATTGTGAACTCATAATTTTTGTAGAGTAACTTTTGCTGCTGAATTATCCACTAACCTAGTTTATAATAGTATTTTTCTCATAGATTATGATTATATATTTTTTAATTTGTTATTTTTCTTTATAATGAAGTTGTCTATATTTAGTAGATTGTGTGTAACACACAAAGGAGTGATGATCAGGTCAACACACTGAGGTATAGAAATAAAAATAAAAAAATTGCTGGTATCGGATCGTTATCGGTATTGTCCGATACTCAGAACTTTTGGTATCGGATGGGGATCGATTCTGAAAAAATGGTATCGTGCCACCCCAACTTCTTTTAAGATTTCTTTGTTGAAATTAAAAGGAACAATCAGTTCAGAATTGTAAATGTAAGCTTGAATGATTTTTCATAATGTGACCTTGGCTTTGGCAATGCATGATTGTTGTTCTGATAACATCTTTATTTCAGTGTGTTCATCTTTGTTTGTGTCACTGCATTTTTTTTTCTTCATAATGTGATGCAGTTCTTTCTTTCAAAGTTAAATCAGTAGATACCCACAGGCATAGAGGACTGATCATGATAGTGCACAGCTCAGATTCCTCCACTCTTCTGGATCTCATAAGGGTTCTGCTGATCATGGCATGATGTTGATAGCATTCAATAATTTGTTTGTGAATGGCGCTACAGTAGATTGTAGGGGTGTAACAGTTCGGTACATTTTCGAAAAAGCAGGGGGGGAAACTAAACACAAAATTTCTTCTTTTTTTTCTTTTTCATTAAAGGTGCTGTATGTAATGTTTTGAAAAAATACCATAATATGTTTGCAGATATTTAGGAAACATGTTCACATACTTGTTTCTCCAAAAAAACAACAACACTACAGTCAGTTATTTAACTATGAAATGTGCGTTCTATGTCGGAATGTCTGTTTTTGTTTTGGTCTGTGTGATTCCGCCTACTTCCGGTTTACCCAATAGGATTTCAACACCCCGGGTTGCCAGTTGCAGCATATTTCAGCCATAGAAGCCAGCATACAAACTAGATCAGAGATCGCAGATTCTACCCGACATAAAAAGCATCATCATCCATCTGCAAAGCTCAATGACCAGAGATATATTATTAAACACGGATAAATCAACTCATCACCTTACACTGTAAGGCTCGTTGGCTAATATTGTCAGTTGCACTCGTTTATTGTTGCATCTGGCAACCCGCGTGAGCATCAAGTCTTGAGGGGTGGGAGAAACAACGCTCTCCAATATTTTGAATTTAGACTGCAGTACCATATAAAACACTAGCTGTCAATATTACTGCACCTTTAAACTGTGAACAAATTGTGGTTCTGTCTTTAAATATTATTATATTTAACATTTACTTAAGGAATAAAAATCAGCTAATGCTGTAAACTATATAGGGAGTCCTATTACTTGCACATTAGTATTAACAATATTAATGGTTACAATAAATAACAGAACCCAAACTATTAAATGAAATTGGTATTTATTTTTAGATATAGGCTAATAATCAACAATAAAATATAAAATTGTATTTAAACAAATTTTGACAGTTTTTTTACATTTATTTCTAAATCTAATTATTAAATTAGGTTTCTACTCCCATTCTTTTTTAAATATAGGCCTTTACACGGTGGCCTTCATAACTTGTTTTCATGGTAAGATTTTTTAAATGTGTTTGAAAGAATCTCTTATGCTCTCCAAAGCTGCATTTATTTGTTAAAAAATATAGTAAAAGCTAATATTTTTTAAATATTATTTCAATTTAAAATAACTGTTTTCTGTTTTCATATATTTTCAAATGTAATTTATTTCTGTGATGCAAAGCTGAATTTTCAGCATCATTACTCCAGTCAGAAATTATTCTAAAATGCTGATTTGCATATTTAAATGCATTTTAATTTTATGCATTTGATTTTAATGCATCCTTGCTGAATAAGAGTATTCATTTCTTTAAACAAACAAACAAACAAACAATTTTACCTACCCTGAACTATTGTACTGCAAAATTGGGATCATAAAAGAACAGCCTGAAAATATGTGATATGAAAATAATGGCACTAGTATTCATGTTGGCTTGCATAGAATGGACAATATATATATATATATATATATATATATATATATATACAGAGAGAGAGAGAGAGACAGTGAAACAGACGTTATATACTGTAGGAAGGGGTCGGAGGGTCCATTCATACAAAACTCAGGCCTGGACTATAATTTGTGCCTGACAATCTTCAGTTTCTTTGAGGAGATTGACACAAAAAATTCCTCCAAAGTGATTTGTCAAGGGCCTGTTCAAAAATCACACCACCTCCAGACACCAGTGTGGCAGGAAGATGAATCTGGTGATATTTCGTACAAAACCTCCCTGTGATTATGTTCACTTAGGAAGGAGCAATATAGATAAGGATGGAGGGAGAGAGAGACATGCAATTTTTAAGTGTTTTGATCATTAGTATCCATGGGAAACATCACAACATATGCAGGACTGAAAAGGTTATGAATCGTTTGAATTCAATGCATTTATTAAGTTATCGCTTGCTTCCTCCATGCATTTTGTTTGTTTAGTAGAAATGTGTTTAAAAAGATCTGTTTTAAAAATGAACTCTTGACTAACTTGACTAAATCAAACAGTCACAATAAACAAAACTGTAACAAATGAAGCTGAGACATAACCATGCACGCACTAAGTGTGTAATATGCATGACTCTATGCATGTTTAAACACAACATTAGCTCAATAAACAAATTTTTAAAGAGACAATTTGGCATTTTATAGCGATACCTTGACCTTTTGTGTTTGTGCATCTGATCTCTTCATGTTAACCACATTCCTAACTTCAAGCTCACATGTTATAGACTAAGCCCCAAAGCAAAGGTGGTCATTAGACATATACTTTAAAGCAAGGGGTGTTTAGTCAGGGCAGGAATGCTTTATTATAAGCCTTGTAAATCAAACCAGACTTTCTCCTCTTCAGCCTGAGGATGTATTTTCTTGAGAAATACACAATTTCAATTTTTTTTGTAAATTGAAATTTACAAAAAACCACAAAACCAGTCATAAGGGTCAATTTTTCGAAATTGAGATTTATATGTAATCTGAAAGCTGAATAAATAAGCTTTCTATTGATGTATTGTTTGTTAGGATAGGACAATATTTGGCCGAGATACAACTATTTGAAAATCTGAAATCTGGGGGTGCAAAAAAATCAAAATATTGAAAAAAAAATTGCCTTTAAAGTTGTCCAAATGAAGTTCTTAGCAATGCATATTCCTAATCAAAAATTAAGTTTTGATATATTTACGGTAGGAAATTTACAAAATATCTTCACGGAACATGATCTTTACTTAATATCCTAATGATTTTTGGCATAAAAGAAAAATCAATAATTTTGACTCATACAATGTATTTTTGGCTATTGCTAAAAATATACCCAAGCGACTTAAGACTGGTTTTGTGGTCCAGGGTCACAAATGCTTAAAGTGATATACACTCACATGAGATGAATATTCCAGTCATATTAGCAACCTAGATAAAGCGATTTATTTTATTTATATATTTTATTTTATTTTATTTTATTTTTTGTGCATGATGCCTTGCAATGTAAAAGCAGCCTAATAGAGCTGTTTATACTATTAAATAATCAATGTTCATGACAGAGAACTGCTTTTAATTTATTTTCGTATTACTAATTTAGTTTTTCATTACTGACTGTTTACTAGAATAATTACTTGTGCATTGTTCACTTAATTAAAAAAATATTCAAACAGCTACATACCATTGTTTTAAATTATTTTTTAGTATTTTTATTAATATTTCACTTTTTAGATAGCATTCAATAGCACATTGTTTGTAATAGAACAATGATGTGGTATAGAAATTGTGTTCAGAAATCATGATTTCACACATAAAACATGAAATAAGTTTTGCATTTAAAATACATAATATTAAACCGAAACATCTTAAATCAGTGACCTACTTCATTGCATTAAGTTTGTGCTATTAATATCAAATGTACAGAATGGAAAACTATAGAGTGAAATTCAGATATTTAAATTTTATGCCTGTATCCTGTGGAATTTAATACAGTCGTTCTGCTTTATGTGGAATTTGACTGTCCATCAAAACTCTGTATAATAATGTCATTAAAATTTTCCAGGTTTTTTTTTTTTTTTTGAGCCGGCAGTTATTGGAAACTCTTGCATGAGGTCCAGTGTGACTTTCCATCAGAAGTATTTGGTGCTTGGAGCCATACACCTGTGAAACACATTCACATTCAGAGGATTCTCCTGTAGTTCTGTCTTTTAACCCTGTAAAGCCTGACATATGAAATATCGAGGAGAAAAAATATGAGCAAAAATTTGGTGCAGTTGCTTATATTTATATGGCCATGTAAATCTTTTTTTTTTATAGAGATTTTTATAACACTATAAACCAAAAATGTATAGTTCTCAAATCTCATTGCTCAAAATCTGGATTTTGCAGCCAATAACTTATTAAATATTGTTCTGTTCCTCATACAAAGCTGTCGTAAAACTTCAGAAGAGTCATTTTAGCTACTTCTAGGACTGTGTCCTTCCTCATTCACGTTTATTCTGTTTAAAAGAGCAGCGTGAACGTTCTGCTAAACACAGGAGAAAGAAAGCCATGCAGATTTGAAAATGAAGTGAGGTGTAAATCATGACAGAATTCATTTTTTGGGTGAAATATCCCTTTAATGTGTCTGTCACATGCTCTGCAGAAGTCTTTGCAGTTCAAGAACATCCAGTCTCTCAAAGCTAGACGCCACGCTGCTTTCAAATAGCAAAGCTGTCACTGTCAAGCCAGTGCTGTTCTCTCCAGGCACTCATGGTTGTCAAGTTTGTCTTTGTCTTTTTTTAATTGTAGGGCGGCCTTTCATCATAATTCCCTCAAAAGGGAGAACACACACAGAAAGCATGTGATCTGAGCACTGATAGAAGATGTGTAACTTCATCATATGTATTTGTTTGTGAAATCTCTTTTATTTATTGTCTTCTTTATCCTCATCTTCACCTTTCAGAAGCAAGCATGGCCCGATCACAAGAGGGAATGCAAATGCCTCAAGCGTCTCCAGCCAAGGATCCCCACCGACTCCGTCCGCCTGCTTACGAGGACCATCTTCAAACTGGTATGTGACATCAGAACCCCTGCTGTATCAGGACCACTTCAGACCCGTTCAAAGAGTGTTTCGCCTTTAAAACTGCCACAGGGCTGTTACACCTATTCTGTCTCTTTCCAGCTCAGCCAAACAGAAAGTGACCAAGAGGAGCTATACTCGATAGCTGAACACCAGTCACGTAAGTTTATGTTTGATTGTATTGCAGTGCACTGACACAAGGCAAACGTCTGTTGCTATATTGTATTTTTCATGACTGGAATGCTGTGCTGACCAATTAGCATCCAGGTCTGGATTTGATTTATAAAACCATATACAATGTTGTTTGTAAATGCCTTAGAGAAAATGGGATTTTGATAATACAGCCTGAAAATAAATAAATAAATCAATCTTTGCACTGATCAGGGAGGAGACAAATTCTGAAAACATATTTTATTGAATAAAAAAAAGAAATAAATGAATCAAAGTAAAGTAAAAAATAAATAAAAAACAGAACATTTTAAATGTTCTGAAAAAAGTAAAACATCTTTAAAAACAACGTCTTAAAAAATATCTTAATGGTGAAAAAACATCCTAAAAAAGAAATAAATGAATTAAAATAAAATAAAATGAATGAATGAAAAAAATCAGAACATTGTAAATGTTCTAAATTTTTTTAAAACATCTTAAAAAACAACATTTTAAAAATATCTTAATGTTGAAAAAATATCCTAATAAATTGAAATAAATGAATTAAAATAAAATAAAAAATGAATTAAAAAAAATCTGAACATTGTAAATGTAAATTGTAAGAGTTTTTCTGCAAGGAAATACAATAACTACTTATAAACCATCTCTAAACTGTGTTCTAATTCACTGTAATATATATATATATATATATATATATATATATATATAAAAAATGTTGTAAGTTGTAAATAAAACAAAGATTATTGGAATATATTTTACAAGACAATACTATGTTAGTCTTTGTACTTCAAAATTTCACGTTTAATTTAATTGTTTGTGAAAGCAAGTGATTTTTTTAAAGTGTTGGTCTGTTGTGTACAAACCTTGATTTGTAAAGCTATAAAGGTGCTAAATAAGACCCAATAAAATCTTTAATAAAAGAAACCTGAGCCAAATTTAATCCAGTAATCAGGCATCACTCCTGACTTTCATGTGTATTTATTGCCAATATTATGTACTCCAAAATAATTTCTGGTCTGCACTGGTAATTTCATGTTACTTCAATTTAATAATACCAAGAAATTATAAGGATTTATGCCGATATTGTCCATAACCCCACTTTTGAAAGTTGTCTTTCAGGCATCATAGAAATGGACAATGTCTATTGTCGTTTCAAAAACCTGACTTTTTTCCTTTAAAAAAAAAAAAAAAAAGATATACGGAATAAATGGCTTGTTAATGGATGGCAGTAAAAAGCACTAACTTATCCTGTGAGGTTGAAAAATTTGATTTCCTATGATGGAAGGTGAATAAATGTCAGATCCTGGCAGGAGTTTATTGTACCATTATGAATTTTCCTTTCTTTCTTGGGTCGGACCCTCTGTGAAACCTGCCCCGCGGCCCCCGGCTTTTCAAAAGTAATTGCCTATTTTGTGACAAAGAGCCTTGGACTTCTTTTTGGCCCCACTCTTTTCTATTCAGTCATAAGTAATGTGCAGCCATTAGAGAGGTAATCCTGCTGATGGTCCTTATGGAAGCAGTCAGCACCCTATCTGAACTTGTGCTTTCTCATCACACTAACGGCCTTATGAGATGCCACTCGCTCTCACCTCAAAATCAAGGTCACATCAGCTCTTGTATTATTTCAGGAAATCCATCAGCTCCTCATTTTTGCGGCTGTGCTGATTTACGTCGAGATTCATATGTAGACCTGTTCCTTTAGACAAACAGAAGAACATTTCACTTGATCGCTTTCCTTCATGTGTCTGAGTGATTTGAGTTGGTGGCCGACCAGTGGGTTTTTTCAGTGGCTGATATAGAATTTAATCCTTTTATGCTGTATTTTACAGTTTAACGGTAGCAAATGAGACATGCAAACTTGTAGAAATTAAAGGAATCATTCATCCAAAAATTGACCAAATAGGTTTTTACGTCTATTATAAGTGGTCGTGAGACATTAATGAGACATTAAATCATTACTTATTGTATGTTCCCATTTAAATTATGAATTTGCGTTTTCATTGCACATTCAAGAGAATGAAATCACCACTTCCAGGGCAAATTATGGTTAAATAGAAATGAACGTTGTAGCCACTGTGGATCTTTATTAAATACAATCATTTATTTGCTGTTTAGAGCATGTTAGAGAGACAATTTATTCAGAAAATGCGTTTCCATTGTAGCATACACCTCCGTTCAAAAATTTAGAGTTGGTATGTTTTATAAATGTTTTTGAAATAAGGCTGTAATGCTCACCAAGGCTGCATTAATTAGAGCAAAATACAGTCAAAACAGTTATGTTGTGAAATATAGAAATATAGTTATTTTAAATTGTAGTAAAATTCTACGATGTATTTTATTCCTGTGATTGCAAAGCTGGATCACTTTTCACATGATTCTTCAGAAATCATTCTAATATGCTGATTTGGTGTTTAAGAAACGTCTTATTATTATCGATGTTGAAAACAGTTGTGCTGCTTAATAGTTTTGTAATGCATTTTTTTTTAGGATTCTTTGATGAATAGAAATGACAAGAATTAAAAGAACTGCATTTATTTGAAATAGAAATCTTTTGAAATAGAAAACATTTATAAGTCTATATTGTCACTTTTGATCAATTAAATGTATCCGTGCTGGATAAAAGTATTAATTTATTAATACTTAATACCTAATAAAAAAAAAAACATTTACTAACCTTAAACTTTTGAATAAAAAATGTATCCACCTCAGACAGACTTATATTTGTTTTATGTTCTTTTGGGAAGTTCTATTTGCATATTAATTTTCCATTCAGCATTTTTATGTGATATGCCAAAAAATGCATAAAAATAGATGTATGGAAACCCAGGTAAACACATCAAACCTGGCTTAACGTCTCGATGCTGCACTTTTGAATTAAATGCAAGTGCAAATCAGATTTGAGACCTATTTCAAAAGCAAACATTTTTGGCGAATAACTGCATTTCTTCACACAAAGCATAATATGGCTTCAGAAACCTTATGTGCATTTTTGGAGCTCAACAGCCCTAGTCACCATTCATATTCATTGTACGGAAAAGAGCAGATTCTATATTGCAAAATAGCTCCTTTTTTGTTTCAGAGAAGTGTCTGGAACAACATAAAGATGCGTAAATGGTCACAAAATCTTCATTTTGGGGCGAACTATCCCTTTAAAGAGACCAACACCTGCTTCAGGCTCATAATTCTACACACATTCAACCTCTCATGCTCCTGAGAAGTGGGAAGTGTGCGGATCCGTCTGCCATCCAGCATGTTATTTTCTTCTCAGGAGAGGTTTCAGACCCCACCGGCGCTCATTTACTGCCTGCTATTTGTTCATTTTAACAATCGACAATCTATGTATAACTTTTAGAAATAAATCATGACTACCCAGTGAACAGATTTGAATCATTTCAGTTTGATCAGCTAGCCTAAGCACTGTGATTTTGTTCAGTTTTGGGGAGATACAATTTTCAAGGAGATGATAAAAGGCACCACACGTGGTGAAGACGTATCAGATTTATGTGTTGAATCTGCAGAGTTGTACTACTGCGTGTGTCTGTGTTTATGATGCTGAATGTGTGTGTGTATGAGCGAGAGATGCGAGCTGTGAGCTGTAGCCGTGGGTCAAGCGTTCGCTCTGTCTGCCGCAGCAGCAGTGAACACACTGAACTTCATTGATGGTGCGTTTGGAGATAATGGATCAGAGCAGGAAGGTTAATGAAAAGGCCCATATGTTTGGCAAAGCCGACATAAATCACACATCCAGAGTTATACTTCCAAATACACGCTTTAATGCTACAATCAGACCTCTTTCTTTTCAGGTATACTCTAAAAACCCCACTTTCAGACATCCATTTTACTGGTACAGCCAGAAAATATGAAGCTGTCTGAATACACACTCAAAAACCGCCCTAATGAGAGATGCAAAACTGCTTTTTGATTTGTCTTCATTGGCTAAAGACACACCAACAGGTGAAAACAAACACACACAAACCTTTTATTCTCCTCTGGTTTCTTATTGTGCGTTTTGGCTCTTTTGTGCTTCATCCTCGTTGATCATCATTAGTCTTTTTCACAGCTTGTGTTGGTCCAGCTCAGTGTTGTTGTTTTATATGCCACTGTCACCAATAGTGTAGTATGTGAACTTTTTAATGTAAATTAGGTTTAATTCTGTTTTTGTTTTTCTAGTCTTGACATTATTTATTACTGTACCCAGTGTAATTTATGAACCGCTACAAGAATGATGCATTTTCATTGAAAATAACCTTTAAATACCCAAGTTTTGCAGGTGGAACTTTGGGACTATCATCTAGTCTAGTCTTTTGGACATGGTTATCATTATAGATATACAATACCATACAATATTATTGCCATATTCATGTATGTTCCACATTTATAACAATCAGTCCAAAACAGAGCTAATGTAAAGGAAACCAGGCTGATTGCATCAGAGACGGCAGAGAGAGCAGAGACTCCCATTGCATTTTCAGTGAATTATTAATTCCAGGGTGTTTCGCTTTAAAACACGAGCTCTGTCATCTCTTGTGATTGTCTCTGAAGAGCGCGAGCCCTCACGCGTCGCGCTGTGTGAAATACAAACTGAACAGAACAGAACGTCTTAATGTGTTAAACAAGATAAATGGTGTATGCTTAATTTCATAAAGTGTGCGATTAATCGCGATTAACCCTTTCTCTGTGATTTATATAAATATGTGATATATCTATGTATATCTGTGATTATTACATATATATTAGTTTTAGTAATTTTAGTACTTCATCTTTAACTGCTTTATTTCAGTTAATGATTCAGAATGAATGGTTTTTAGTAGTTTGATTTAATTAACAATGATAACACTGATTCCGACACACTTCAAACCCAGGAATACAGTGTTTTCTGAGTGTGTAGTACCATGTTTTTGAACATTTACAAAGATAATACCATGTTTTTGAACATGCCATGTTTGTTTGTTTTTTAGATATGTACCATGTCAGTACTGTTTTTAGACGTACTGTACTGTATCACTACAATGACTATGACTTTGAATACTATGTCTTTAGTCAAGTACCATGGTAATACCCAGGGTATTTTACCCATTAGGCAAAGGTAGGTGACCGCCTTGGGTGCATCTGAAGCTGTAATTAAGTATTGAGAAACAGTGTGTATTATATGTTTATAATTGTTTTAAATGCCGCTTACTCATTTATGAGAAGGAACCAAGTAGAGTACACATACGCAGTTTTTTGGTTGATATAATCCTTAGGTGTGTACATGTATAATTGCCTTTTCATTATTTTTTTCAGTTTTATTTAAATTTGTAGTTAAAAAAATTGATTTTAAAGTTTAGAATTAGACAGCGTTTGCACACAGGCTTACGCTGGTAACTCATCAGTGGACTTTCGTCGTCAATATAGGCTATATTTTTTCACACTTTTCTCATTCTCACTAATTCAAGGTTTTATATAAATGAATCTCTGAATGGAACCAACTGTCTTCAGAAAAGTTTCGATGGCATTTTCATTTTATCTGATAAAGTAGCGTTTATGAGAGGAGCTCTGCTTTGTTTACAGCCGTTACCAGGGAAACCGCTATATTTCTGACGTTCCAAAAGCGCCTCCTACTGGCAGAGAATGAATGTTCATTTTCAATAATCCAGTCTGTAGTTTTTGTTCAGACCAATGCGAAAATCCACCCACATAACCCCGTTTTAGTACCTTGTTTGTATTGTTTTTTATACATATATCATGTTAATACTATTTCATGTTATATCATGTTAATACTATATTTTTGCTCATGTACTATGGTAATACTATGATTTAATAAGAAAGTAATATGCTTTTGGAAACTTATCTTTAAAACTCAATGCTTTTAGTATAGCATAATGTTTTATGTTTTTGTTTCTAACAAAACAAAAAAGTTTTTGCTCGTTAGCAGGAGCATTCATATGTATCGCTGTTGTCAAATGTTGAAAGCGCTGTGTTCTGTGTGTGTAGATCTAGCAGACATGAGCGAGGAGAAGAAAGAGGGCTTGGGGCACCTCTGCACGACGCTGCAGGTTTATCTCGGAGAGGAGAACGGCGATCTGTCTCAGCTTCCGCCCGGCCTCGACCCCATCAGCCTCCTCGCCAGAGTAAGTGTCCTTTCATTGTCATCTCCGGCAGTCGGCAGGGGTCGCGCTGTCAGATCTCACGCAGCGTTGCTAATGGTGTCAGCATGCCACGTCGAGCCTCGGTTATCTCTGTTATCTCGGTTATCGTCCCATCCTCACATCACCTGCTGTAAACCCATGCTGCTATTTTTTTGTCTTTTCTCCTTCAAACAAGGAACAAGTTGTTCGTAGAAGCTAAATTAAGCCATTTCTTGTTCAAGGTTGAATTTTATTTTAAGTTTCAGAAAATAGTCCTAAAAGATTCAGTGGAATCGAACCAGATCCAGAATCACTTAATTCCTGACAGTTTGCCTCCAAAAAGGCCCGTTCCATAATTTTCTGCCGTTTTCTTCGTGGACGCCTGAGGTGCATGCTAACGTACTAGTTTATTTACAGATGTGTCAGTGAGATCGCTTGTTTGGATTCCTGTGAGAGTAGATTTTATTTGCTTGTTTACCGACCATCACTCTGTACTGTAATTGTGAACACGTTGAGTGAAAGATGCGTTTCAGGGTGAACATGGTCATCTTCTCTTCAGGATTGCATGTAAACACAGAAGGGGTTGCGCATCTGGCCTGGGACAAACGAATGCCTGTTGCATGTGAACACAAACACCTGTTTTATATGAGAGACAGCCAGCAGCCATCTTTCTCTTATAAAGCATCAAAGACCCAAATGTGGATCTGATGAGCATTTCTAATCCAACACTAAACACCACAGCAGGGCAAATCTCGGGTTATGTAAAACACGCACAGATGCTCGAATTGAGAGCGTCCAATGCACTTTTGCATTTGTTGACCTCGATTTGCAAGTACTTTTTTTGGCAATCATACTGTAACATATTGTTTAGATCCCACAGTCATTGAAATCCTGGAAATATCAGTTATTAAATTGCATTTTCCTGGAAAAGTCGTGTCATTTTTTATTTTTTTTTACTCTAAAATATTTTATCCACTATATATTGTTCTTTTTTTTCACTTGTACTTGCTTTCAAGCCATAATGATGTTTGATTTGTGAGTGAGTCATTCTGTTGAGTTGGTTCTTTTGAATAACTGGTTAATCAGTGTCAATTATTCATTAGCTAATGAATCAAAATAATCCAGTATTCACAAATGACTGGAAAGATCACAGAAAATGTTGGGTTAATTTGTTGTATTTGTGTCATTCTATAGCTGGAGGTGTTTGTATGTATTTGTATTTTTTTTCCACCTTTGTTGCTTCTAGATGTGCATTAGAGAGATAAGTAAATACAGAATCTCGCCTATTTAACAAAAAAATTGTGTTTTTAGCTACTTGAGAGTGTTTTTCCCCCTGACAGTGTGTTCTGAACATCTTTTTGAAAAGAGGGAGATGTAAAGTAGATTAGAGAGTGCAAATTAAAATGTAGATGAACTGCACCAAATGCAGTTATTTCTTGTAGTCCACAATCAATAGTTTATTAAATTAATAGTTTACAAATATCTTTTTAAGTAAACTTTTCTCATATTCTCATATTTTTAACCTGTACATTAAAGTGTACATTTTCATTGCTATGGCTTGTCACTATTTCTTTTACCTACACAAAAGTGTGTTTGTGCTACTAATAGAGTATGTGATGAACAGTATATTCAGTTCCACCAGCATTTCATTGGACTTTTTCTGATATTTGCAGCCTTAATGACTGAATGTGCTGTTAACTAAAAAAAAATGTGGCGGTATTTGCTGCATTTTAGTGTTGTTTTGCAGTGAAAATCCTGATGTACTTGCTTAAGTTATGTTAGTGACAGTAAGGGTACAATTACCTTTTTTTCAGAAATAAATGTGAAAATAAGACAAAATGCACAGTGCCACAAATAATGCAGAGTTTGCCCGATTTTGTGTTGAATTCTGCATTTGTAAATTGGCAAAGTCCCGGAGGGACTTTATATTTGCCGACCAGAGGAGAATTGTTCTCCCAATTGGGTACTTTGGTTTCTTTTCTTCACTGTTTTCAAGGAGTTTTTCCCTTTTCCACTGTTGATCTTTGATGGCTTTTGCTGGTTTTAACAAAATGCTGCAACAATTAAGCTACAGTGAAATAATTGAATTTGTTGTACAATGGCTGCAGAAAGTATTTAGACATTAAAACTGTATGAAAGTATTGCATTAGATGGAAAAACTGTGACATATGAGCTCAGATTTTGTTGCATTGTTAAAATTTTATCAGAATTATTTAGGAAAAACTCTTTTGGGTCCAATGTATTGCTTTGCACTCAAATCATTACCTCTAGAATCCCTCAAGGAGAATTTCTTGTGGTAAAATCTATGGAATTTAATGAGCGGTTTATCAGTCTGTATCTCATGCAAGTCATTTATTGAATAGAGACTGAAGATTGAAAAGCATGTCAGAACTGAGTTGATGGATTGAGTTGTGACATTTTCTGTCAGACATATGAGGTAAAGAAACATCAGTATGGCTGTGATGGAAAGGAAATGCACCGGGACTCGCATATGAATCTTGTTGCCATAATGTGAATATCTCTCTTATTCAGTAATCATCATTCTCAGCATCTCTGCTCTAGATTTTGTCATGTAGACCTGCAGGTGGCAACAGGCTGATACGGGTCTGACCCAGATGCACGACGTGAACCGCTGCTCCACATAACACACCTCAAGGAAACGACACAGTTACTAGCTAAAGAGATTAAGTTTACTGTTTGATTAGAACAGTCTTATACACTGCCATTCAAAAGTTTAGGATCAGTACGCTTTTTAATGTTTTTTAAAAAAGTCTCTTATGCTCATCAAGGCTGCATTTTTTTCTTATCAGAAAATAAAGTAAAAACTGTAATATTGTGAAATATTATTACAATTTAATATAACTTTTCTATTAGGGATGTAACGATTACCGTTTTGATGATAAATCATGATCAAATTCCCCACGGTTAGTATTACCGTTTCATCTTTTAATTATCATTAAAACCGTATTAGATTACTGCGATTTGAACAACTCGTGATTAAAATATAATTTATTTCTGTGATGCAAAGCTGAATTTTCATCAGCCATTACTGCAGTCTTCAGTGTCACACGATCCTTCAGAAATCACTCTAATATCGATTTATTATCAGTGCTGGAGTGCTGTGTGCTGCTTAATATTTTTTTGAAACGGTGATACTTTTTTCAGTATTCCTTGATGAATAAAAAGTTAAAAAGAACAGCATTTATTCAAAATAAAAAAGTCTTTACTATCCCTTTTTATCAGTTTAACACATACTTGCTGAATAAAAGTATTAATTTCTTTAAAAAAAGAAAAAGAAAAAAACAATTACTTACCCCAAACTTTTGAACGGTAGTGTATATTGTTGCAAAAAAATTCTAAAAGATTTTTAAAATATGTCTATATATTTTTTGTTATTTTTATTATTTTAATTTTTTTTTTTATTTTGATTGAACTAAATTAAAATGAGAAAGGTTTCTTTGTCAACTACATCAAAATAAAATAAATTCAAGTTTTTTTTAATTATGTATTTTTATTTATTTAATTTGATGAGAATGAAAATGAGGCTGTGAAGGCTAGACATACAGTACATTCAGTTTATGACGGAATGGTAAAACACACCTGTTGTGATTTTTTTGTAGGCAGAATCCATTAATGCAATTATTAGTGAATGAAACCCGAAGTATTTTATCCTTGAGCACTTTACATGCATTACCTTTTACGATGGGTCATACTTGTTGATCTGGTAAACTTTTGTCTTTCCCTCTCACACATTCTCTCATTCTTCCATGCTTCATTAATGAGATGCAGTTAAATCCTGGATGAATATTTCAGTTTAGGTGTGGGTGGAAAACAAATGTGCAGACACAGGAAGAAGTGTGCTGGTTTTGACCCTGACTGCTGATAAATCTCTCTGTTCTGCATGAACTCCGCTCGTGAGAGTCGGCTCTTGGCCCGGCACTTCGTCTTTAACATTACAAACATGTTCAGCCGCATTAAACCAACACCCTGCCCATCGCCGAATCAATTAATCAGCGTGAAAACAAGCATCCGTGGCCCAAAAATGATTTCCATTTCAAATCAGACCGATATTCTGTGCCATTTGCTGAAACTAATTCCCTTATAATATTCAAAATGTATCCCTTACATGCAGTGGAAGTTCCTCGGGGGAATTTGGAATGTTTGTTGGCAGTGTAATTAATTAATTTATTCATATTAAGCAGGAATTACCCACGAACTGGAGTAGGTAGGAGGCAAAAACTCCAATTACAATAATCAAACTGAGTGAGGGACGTGTCGGAACATGTGAATTTAGATTAAAATCCAGATCTGGAGGGACATTCATTCATGCCATTCACATTCCAGAACTGAAGTGATTGTAACTGAAGTTGTAAGAGAATGCTAATGTTATTGTCCAGGGCTTTAGTGAATACAGTATTAGCTTCTGTTACTTTTTGCATATGTGTGTTATGAACTCAAAAGGGAGCTTTTCTGTGAAGCAAGTTTTTATAGTCAGACTGAACAGTTCTGATTTACTGAGCTGATGGGTTTTAAATATTCCTTAAGAAAGTGATTTGTGTCACAGCGATCTGTTAACAGCTTTATAATGAGAACTAGCTATAGTCCTATTTATAGCCGTTTTGTTGTCTGATTATTGATGCTTGCTCATTAAAGCAGCACTATGTAACTTTTTCTGTGTTCAAAATTTGCAAATTGTATATAATGAGCGAGTACATCATGAATTAATCTTCCAAACCGCGTTTTTGTCTTATTCCGAATCACTACGGTACACTTATAATAAGTACTTATATTTGGACTATTGTAGCCTGGTCGGGTCGTCACCGCTGCGGAGTCAAATCCAAAGAGATATTCTTTATAAAAGTTAAGAGTCAGCCACACCTACCTAAAACGGCTCGTTCTAACACGCCCCCACATATCTACCTCACTATGTGGGAAGATTTGCATAATGCCACCCAAATGTTCACGCAAAGAAAGAAGGCGTAACTTTTATTTGCAAAAAATCT